ATTTTGAGCCTAATCACTAATGATGTTTGTTCTAAAGAATAATAATGTTACAAAGATGCTAACATTAGAGCGAAATATGGATTTTCTTAAAACTGAATATTCTAAACATGTAGTAGTTAACATATCAATTTTACTCATGGGAATTAAGAAAAACCAAGGTTTATAATAACATTGAAGAACACTGGGCTCAGGACCAAAGCCCTGAGGTACTTCGCTCTGCGTAAAGATAGATCCATTAAAGACCATGCGTTGGGTATGCTTCCTCAGAACTGTGAATTCATCTCATAATAGGATTCCCCCATCCCAAACTGTTCCATTTCATCAGGGAGGAGTCTGTGATCAGCTATACCAGATGTTTAACTATGGTTTACATATACTATATCCACAGCATTCTCTTATTTACTAAACTAGTCACTTGTCAAAAAAAGTAGTAAGATTTGTCTAGCCTGAATGATTTTTAATAAACCTATGCTAGCTTCATCTAATAACTTAATTATTACAGTCAGTGGTTCTGAGATCACATCCACTTGTACCCTCAAATGTAATCCCTCTGATCCTAGTGACTTGAACAGTTAGGTATTTTCTTTTCACTTCCTTGATTATTTGAACCTGCATTTTTCTTCTGCTCCCATATGGTATAGCTCCTGACAATTTTTTTCTTTTTTAAAAAGCAGATGCAAATTGGAATTTAGCATTTGAGCCTTCTTCTAGTTCTCTCTCCCCAACATGCCATCTTCTCCAGCCAGTGGACAGTTTCCTTGACTTTTGTTCCTCGCATATCCAAAGAAACCCCCCCCCTTTTTTTTTGGGGATATGTAAGGAACAAGAGAAAAGTCAGAGAACTTTTTTGTTATTTTTGGCATTCATTGCAAGCCTTAACTCATTCAAAGTAATGTTGCTGAAGAAAGGAATTCTAGGATTTTTTTCCTATACATTCTCTGTGTGTAACTTTCTTGGGAGGGAGGGGAAGTAAAAAGGGACAATCAAGAGAACCAAAGGGGAACTTTTAGGAAGAGAAGGGGTAGAGATTTGACCTGAATGAGAGGAACCCCTGCTGACATGGCCAGTCTGAGTCACTGAATGGCTTGAATACAATAAATGCTTCTTTATCCTGTCTTGAAAGAAACAAGATAGCACAGCCTAAATGCTGGGGTATGCTTAAATAGGCAACTCTGAGTTGTTTGAGGTAAGTGTGTTTGAAATCTGAGCCTCAGGACAATCTGTGAGTTGTCACAGGTCATCTGCCCTGCTCTGCGGGTTAGACCCCAAATTTGTGAGGAATTATATCTGGGCAGATTGTTGTACAAATATCTTTGTTAGTTGTCTCCTTTCACGAAACCACAACCTGCAAAGTATTTTAAAAGTAATATTTAAATATTATTTGAAAGATCAAAGGGCTACACTAAAAGGGTTTAAAAGTTTAACATATGTTGCATTATTTCGAGATTTGAAAAAACTGCACTGTAGAGCCATAGCTGTCATTTTGGTTGTTGTAAGATTTGTGATGTATGTGTTTTATATTGCTTTGTTTTGCTTAAATAGTGTCTACTTGCTATGCTGAGTTCTTATGCTTCTAGCAGTTTCACAGGCAATGAGTCTGCTTCAGTGATCTCAAATCCTTTTAGACTAATTTGTGAAAAAGGAGAAAAGAACTAGCTCTTTTTGTCATCCACTCATTGTTCAAAAGCAGGGGTCCAGGTATTTTGCAAGCAAACAAGCAAGCAAGGTTTATTTACAAGCAAGGCTTATCAAAGTACTTTTTATGGCTAAATTACTCTGATAATGTCATTAGTGTTGAAAGAAGAAAGGAAATGGATTTCCCTTCCCAAAATATGCCCCTCCAATAGCATATTGTGCAGGCCTAACTCATCAATGGCCATGAGAAAGATGCCAGTGACAACCACACTTTTGCATTAGAAACTTGCATATAGGCGCAACGCAAATTCAAGCAATGCCTTTATATAGCCACGGGGCATTTTTAAAAGCCTCTGGCCCCTCAGTCATTGGACTACTAGTTAATTGCCACATGGACATTGTGGCACATGGACAGATAATATGACATTTTCAGTTTCTCTTACTAGCAAAAGCCACAGCGTTGCTTGCACTAGTTGCTAAGAAGCTGTCAGAAACCATTAGGAGTTGGTTGAAGTTGCCCTATGGCATTTCCTCATGGCATCAGCAAAACGAGTATAAATCACCCAGTGGAATCTACTGCTATACTAATGAGGCTGTAAGCTTGTTTATGGACTAGCATCATTTTTATGATTATTTCCACCTTTTCAGCTTGCCTTCATTGGCAGTGGGAGAAGTCAACTTCAAGCATGAAGTCACCGCTGACATTTCACAAACGTGGTTCATAGTTGCTACCATGTGGTTAGTTAGTGAGTCTTCGAGTCCTTTTTGTTTTGTTTTTAAAAAGTAGGGTAGAGAAAGCAGAAGAGGAAAAGTATTCTCAAGAGACCTTATAGAGGTGACAGTATTGAATTGCAGAGTGAATGGACATGCTGTTTAGACTTTTAGCTGAGATTTTTCCTTTATAAAGAATCAAGTTTCCGAATCTTTCCCCCTCCCCCCCAAAAACAATTGTATTAAAATCTATAGAAGTAATCTCTTCTAAAGGACCCTGTTTCGTTAATTTGCTTTTTCCCCCTCTTATCCTTCTTTTATCTTCTGTTGGACTGGGCTGGAGTTTATTGTTTTAAGCTTCTCTGAGCGTGCACAAGTATTTTACATGGGATTGAAAGCATTTGCTTCCAATGAAAACCTTGTCTTAGATTACAACCCAGCAGTATAATTTCCCTCCCAGATGGGAGTAAAGTAGCTGTATTTGCCTAAAAACAGTAGGAAGAACAAACTGTGCATTAAGCCAAGGCTGTTTTTGGCTTGAGCTAATGATGTAACAGAAATCTTTTATTTGGGATAGGTCACTGCCTGGGACTGACAGGAGGTGATCTGAGTCTTGCTTGAAAGGTTTTTCCATTGTATCTCCATAAGCCTCCCCTTTCAAAAAGGGGTGGTGGTGGTGGTTTCTGTTCCTAATGTTTCTGCTTTCATACAGCAGAAATAAACAGGAAAGGTTCTGGGGGAGTGTTCTTCATGGAATGCAGAAAGCCTCCCCCTCCTAATGGAGTCTATAATTCAGGTGCCCCGAAGGCATGCTTTCAGGAATTCTTTGGCCTGAGGTAATGCTAAGCTAAGGCTGCTTTGAGGCCTTGATTATCTATTGATGCACAAAGCTGGAAAAAAAAATCTCCATTGAATTATAGTAGATATTTCCATAAATTATCAATGAATTCTCTTCTATCCAGGCACAAGGCATAGCTTGCTAAAATAATTTGAAGCCAGGGTGGGGGTGGGTGGATGGGTGGTAACGGAGCTGAAAGTATATTTAAAAAAAGAATAAGCAATAGGATGTCATCATGTTAGAAACCCTTTTACTTTTAACCACTGACTGCCTGATATGTTTCTCCTTCCTTGCCTCTCTTTAATTGCCCATCAGACTAGAGAATGTGGATTAGTACAGGGAAATTTTAAATGCCGTTGTTTGCTTATGTTTATTTTATGAATCATTACTTTATATGGGGAATTGCTTTTCTGAATAAAACCTTTCAAAGACTTTTATCAGCCTAAGACATCTGAAGAGTTCCCTTTTAGAAATATGAATGCCTCAGTTGAACTTTCATGAAGCAAAGAGCTTTTTGTGAAGATAGTCACACTCATTTTTTTTAAAGAATGAATTCTTACAAGATTGCACGTTCAATCATTATTTTGAAGAATTAAAATGCCTGTTTAAAACAAAGGCTTTCTAAGTGTTTCTTTTATTGATAGTAGTTGCCTAAATTAGATCAAAACATGAATGCTCATAAAGATTGTGACAGTGGGAGCTCCAATTTGACATTCTGTCTATATGAAAAAGATGAAATTGAAATATAAGAAATTATTCTAAGCTATTCTGAAAAATGCTTTACAGGTTTTAACTGCTGGCCTTCCTGCTGTGTTTCTTGCAGTATGAAAAATAAGCTAAAATTACAGCATAAATAAAAACTGGTTTCTATAAATAAACTGATGAGTTTGAACTTCACTAATAAAATTCAGATAGGCAGGCTCTTGATGGATATACAGTGATTGTAGATGGTGTAATAATGATAAGAATTGAATAAACCGTTTTATTTCCAGGCTACCCCTGGTATGCACGTGCCCATTCATAATTTAATTTGACTCTGTTTTTGTTTTTATATGAGAATTTGAAAACAAACATAACAAAAATTTTATTTAAATATGTGCGGCTATTTTTTAACTCCTAAAATAAATATTTATATATGGCTTATCTTAAGTACACCTTACTAAGGACTTTTTCCCTAAAAGATAGATGCATCTTAATGCAATTTGAATCTTTTTTATGAGAAACAGAGAATGCATAACAACCTTTGGACAACTGGAAAAGTCCAAAGAATAATTATATTGTTATCTTGATGTGAGAAGAGAATATCATGTAACCTCTCATCAGAATTGAAAACATTGAATTTGTAATGGTGATTCACCTTATTTAAATCTCCCAGACATGGTCCCAAATAATGTCTTCCATATTTACAAATAGCTTTAGTTGTAAGTGCTTGGCATTGTTTAAAATGTCTATAAAAATTCAATCTGGTTTGGATATATGATGTGTAGCTCAGTGAGAGAGCACATTATTGGCATTCAGAAAACCTCAGCTTTAATGGGTAGCATCTTAAACTTGAAGGAACATCTTTAAGAGTTGCAACCAGAAAATAGATGGTGTTGTGCTGCAGTTGTGATTTAGAATTCACAACAGCAAAAAAAAGGATCATGATAGGTTTAATATTATTTCATGAAATACATTGTGAATTTTCATTAGGTCTATGATTGTTCATGTGTGTTTAGTGCATATGTTGGGTGTGTAATGTACCTATCCAAATTAGTTTTTAATCATCGACTCTCAAGATAGCTAAAGTGAAACATTTGATTCACTATATTTACAGGTGACGGCTTGGACAACAGTGTAGCTTCTCCCAGCACAGGTGATGATGATGATCCAGATAAGGACAAAAAGCGACATAAAAAGCGCGGCATCTTTCCCAAAGTAGCCACAAATATCATGAGGGCATGGCTGTTCCAGCATCTAACAGTAAGTCAAGTCCAGATCATGTATAAAATGACACCTGTGTAGTAAACATTCTAGTTACAGCAGAGAATGCATATAATACATGTTCAAAGACTAGTATTTGAGATATTTTATCTTATACAAGAAAAAGAGGAGAAATAGGGAAACTTACATTTGTCTGACCAACAAAGTATTCCTATGTGTATAACTAAAATCAATATTCTACTTTGTTTCTTATTGTTGCATCTATTCTTTTGTTATTTTTTCCTTCAGCCTCTTGTTTAAGACAAAAACAACAATCTGGCTAATGTTAATTTATTCTTTCAATATGTAGTAACTCTGAACTAAGAGACTTGATATTTGTTTTCTTTCTGGACATCTAAATAATATAAAACAGATATTTCTTTTCTGTTGCACCATTTCTTTTTGTATTTAGTCACTGTGAGAAGGAGTATCCACTGTCTAGCTTGCAAGTTTTGGGTATTTATCTGCCAGCTCTCAATTGCTGCAAGTTAGCAGAATTAAGTACAGGCCTTATATCTGGGCCCTCTATATTTTAAAATGATTCGCTAAAGCACATCAGACCACATATGTACAGCATCTCTCTTCTATTTGTTAAACCAGGTTGACATAATTCTAAATAAAAAAAGAAGCCTATGCTTTAAAAGTCATTCCTTTTAACAAGGTTCCTTAAATCAGGATAGCTCCCCCCCCCATAAATAGAATATGGCACATTTTCTAGAGAGTCTCCATCAAAGCTTGGATGTCTTTCTAAACCAGTGCTTCTCAATTATTTTCTGTCATGCCCCCCTAGGAAGAAGAAAACATTTCGCACTCCCCGCGCGACTGTAAATAGTATCATTTGTCTATAAAATTGTTATAAATACACCTCTGCATAACACTGTATCCTTATTAACGTATATGAGAATAAAAAAAGAAAGAAATGTGGATCAATTTACAACAAAGAATAGCTTTATTAACTGTAGCAGAAAAGATTTAAAGGAGCACAATATTAAAAAAAACTTTAACCTGCAAAACAAAAATATATAAAATAATTTGAGCTGATTTTTTAATCAGAGGTGATGTCTGGATTAATGGCTACAATGAGCACGTTTTTCAATGCATAGCTTTTAGAAGCGGGGTTTGAAGCAGGACACAGCAACTCTCAGCTCCTTCTCAATGTGTAGCCGAGACCTGTATTTGCTTTTCAGAGCAGCAACAGCAGAGAAGCCTTCGGAAGACTTTCTTTTATCTCCTTCTCTCCTTCTCTCTCCGCCTGTCTTCTCATCCCTGTTAAAAAAAATTTTTCTGTACAGAGGACCGATTTCCGGGTCTAAAAGTCACACGGGCGGGTTTGGCCAATCAGGATAGAGCATCATGTCTATCCAATCAGGTCCTTTGCATGTGTCACGTGCGTTGGCGGTCATGTTGTCCTCCGCGTCGGGCTGCTACTGGGGCTGCGCTGGGAGAATCTTCAGTGTTTGCGCCGCGCTGCTCCCTCTCTTCAGCTCTAGAGTTGCTAGGCAACCAATGCCGTGTGGGACGCCGCTTGCGAGTGAGTCGGATGATCCGATCTAGAAATCCAATATGACAGTATTTGCCGAGGTCAAACGAGCCCCCTTTACGGAGCCTCGCGCCCCCCCTGGGGGGTGCGCCCCACTATTTGAGAAGCACTGTTCTAAACCAAGATTTTTGAATATTTGTTTCTGATACATTTGAATAGGAATGGGGCAGGTCTTTGCTTATACGTTTGGGAGACAAGGAAGGTCAAACATCCATCATTTAGCTCCCCTCCGTTCCTTGAATAAAGATGTTCTTCTGAAGCTACAGAATCCATGTGGCATGGGATATGTGTGTATGGGGAGCAATTTTATCTTGTCAGATGTATAAGCATCTGATGTGAGACTCTTAGATTAAGGAAATTCTCTCTTGTCACTGAAGCATTTGGTCATAATTCAGTCAGTCTGGCAACATTCTCATGGCCCAGATATTTGTGTATTTAGCAGATTTTTTTTTGTCTTCCCTGTACTTCAGCTGATTCCCTCCTGTTCACCCCAGCTGCCTCCTCTAATTCATCGTCAAGAAGAGCTTTCTGTGCAATAACAGGGAATGGGAAGTGGTAATGGTGTTTGAAAACCTGAGTGCCAGTCAGAGCTATTTGATGGAGAGTTCAGGATTATGCTTTATATTTGTAATCCTGGGCATGGCTTGCATGTAAATATATGTGAAAGGGAATTTAGTTGCTGCAACTATAAACAACGTTAGCTAATTCAAAACTTTTAAAATTTTTGAATGAAAAGTTTTGAATGAAGTATTTGAAGTATAGTGCATTATACCAACATTCCGTTATAAGCAGCTGACTAATATTCTTCCCCATTATTCCATTCCTTAATTTGAATCTGGTGAATGAGCCAGTATTTTTATTATTGTGAGTTTGTGATCTTTCTGCATCATTTTACATATACACTTTTATTGGACTAATTAAATAGAATGTCTAAAACAATATGATTTTTCAGATTCTTGGAGGCCTGTTATGAGTTTCCAGAAATTTACAAAATCTTAATCTTGATTTAAGACTTTATTATTATTTATATTTTAAAAAGAGATTTTTGATTGCGTTTGAGAAACACCCTCAATATTGTAATGTAAACTTAATGATAAAAGAGAGGATTGAAGCTGAACATTCATTTTTTTAAGATCCAGAAGTAGATAATCTATCTCCAGTACAATACAGAACCAAAAATATTAGTGGCTAACAGTAGAACTTGTAACCTTCTGGTAACCTTCACAGTTACTGGGCACAGTTTATATAGAAAAGGAATCAAGCATCTCAAAGGCCATAACATATATAGCTGAGTGCATAAAGACATGGATTTGTCAGCACTAATTGAGAGCTAAAGGGATATTTCCTCTCTTGGGTATTATAAAGTAGACTTCACACAGGTTTTGCTAGGACATCACTTGCCCTGTGTGAGACCACCGTGCACACTATTGCTGGCAATATAGTTACATGGAATACAAAGTGGATACAATATGCTGAATTGCTGTGCCTGGAGAGAAGAGTCACAGTATATGGAGGCTGAAACATCCATTTCACAAATGAATAAGGCTAAATAATCATATCTAGAATTGATCCAAATAAATTCAGGACTTTATATGCAGTACAAGGAGGATCTCCTGTTTAGAGACTGTTCTTCCTACCTATTTTCTTACTAATTCAAGTCGGTGGTTTTTCCACTTCACTTTTTTTCTTCTTAGTACTGAAAGAGAAAATGCAAAAAAATTACAAAATTATTGTTCCTAATCAATAAGCTTATATTTGAACACATTTGAATGATCTGAGAATGTGTAGAAGCAGTTTTGCATTATCTCTTCGTATTTTAAAAAAATGTTGAATGTGCCAAACCGTTAACTTTTGAAAGATTTGCATTTACCAAATAAATGAAACCCTAGGTTGGAGATGGATTTTTAATGTAACAGGCAAGCAATGGTTTTGAAGTGAGTCTGCAGATCTGTTTAGCCCACTTTGGACTTTTGGGCTTTATGTGAGGTAGCCTTTGGTTTTCCTTACACTGGTCTTGGATATAGAGTTAAGGAAGTAAAATCCAAGTTTTTGTGTTAAAGTCTGAAAGGATACTTAATGCTTATGTCTTAAGATAAATATGATTAATGCAATTGCTGCAATTGATATATAGTGAATGTTATATTCATATGTTTCATTACAGGATGAACTTTTATAGACTATGTTATGTATCAAGTACATTATATATCCTTCATATGAAGAAGAATCTGTACTGATGCAAAATGAAACATCCTGTGTTTTTTTTTAAAGGAAAAACCATTTTGTTTTTAAAGAAATAATTCTTGAACACCTGGAAATATCTCACAAATGAATAATTTCCACTTTTGATTGTTAAAACTAATAAGCCTCAGTTTTGTCCAGACTTAATTTATTAGACACCAGATAATTTGCATGGATATATTGTAAGTATGTAATATAAAGCTTAGAGTAGATACAATAATTTGCAAATTAAAACAGTATGGAAGAGCTGGGAATAATTAACACCGAAATAGTTTGCATTCTGACTGAGCACTAACATTTCTTAATTTTACCATTATCTCAAAGGACTGCTTATAAAATTATGATGCTAATACCCATTATAATATTAATACCCCAGCAACATACTAATTACATGGCAGTCATATTAATGATTGGTCAATGGAATTATTAAAATAAAAATAGGAAACTTTTGTAAGTTTTATTAAAATTAGATCGTAATGCTTGAGACCATCTTTTAGACTGTGATTTAAACAAATAAGCAAACAAAAAGTAAAAGTACAAAGGAAATGTTGGCTATTTTATTTCATACAGTATGCAACTAATTTTTGAAATCATTCTAGCAGTGCAGTTTCAGGCACCTTATATAATATTGAACATAACACATTGTGGGATGATGTTTCTACAGTATCTTGCTCCTTCTACATCTCTTTCCCTTTTTCTTAATCTCATATGCACACAACATACCTGGGCATAGCTGAAGAGTATAAAATATATGCTGCATGTAGACAGTCCCACATTCTACCTCAAGAGGACTGAATAAGAGATTGTTGCCTTAAGGCATATACTATTGTCATTCAGAGCTGGTAATACTTGGCTAGATCGACTAATTATCTAGCCTTTGTGTTTTAAGATAATGTTTTCTACTTTGTATTAATACATAAAAATACAGAACTGATCATTAAATACAAATGCATTTATTTTGGCTACTTCCATTTCATTTTTTGCTTTTTTTTCTGTTTGTTTGCCCATTGAAATAAGTATACTACATTTCTTTAAAACGTAGATTACATCCGTAGTGTAATTTTATTCTGGCTAGAATCTGAGAATTCAGTATCCTTCTTTACTGTTAATGAATTTGTTTAAAAGATTGATAGTGATGAAGCCCATTGCATTAAGACAATGCCATTCAGGGAGGTACTGCTTTGCAGCAATTCTAATAATCCTAATGCACTAGGAGAAAAAA